GTTCAGTGGCTTTACCTTTCACACCTTGATGGACCACATATAATAATTGGATTTTTCAATTTGCCATAACTTGAATTTTGCAAAACTTTCAATAATGTACTCTATACATTTTACAGATAATGAGGAGAATACCACCCTGCAAAAAACATGTATTGAATTGGTCAACCTCCTCCAATCTTTGACGTCCCTGTGGGCAATGTGGTCCTCCATGTATGCTGGACAGTACTCTGCCATCAGCAGTCTGACCGACAGATTTCGTGGGCAGGTCAAGGTTATTGGTAACCAATTAGTGCTACTATTCCAAGGCTGTCAGAATGACCTTGACCGTCTGGTGCAAGACTCGACTGTCAAGGTGAAGGACAGTGTGTTAGATGTGTGTCGCCTGGTGGGGGAGATGTCACTAGCCACAGACATGGCCATGCTGAGTCTGGACAGATGTGCCAAGGAGCAGGACCCAACGGTAAGTAACTGTTCCTGCATGTACATCATATGTGTTGCTATCTATGTTCCTGTGTGTACAATATGGCTGCATTCGTTTATCGCGATCCAAAAGTTGAACCGGTTGGACCAGAGTTGTTCGTTTATGAAGTGAAGTTGGACCTAGTAATCTGATGCTGTCTTCATGCGAGCCTTGACGGATACGAGAAAGGGGCCTCATCTGTGTTACTTGCTGTGTGGTCATCACTCTGTGACCTCATGCTTGTTGCTTACTATGTCACTGTACATCCATCGTGTGTGTCAATGTGTCCATCATCAGTTAGCTTACTGTTATCCTTCATGTGTGTCTATCAGTTTCTACTTTTGATGAGAAAATATCTTCTATTACAGCTATGTGGGGAGGTGTGTCAGGCATTCCTGTCTGGCTGTGACCTGTTAGTGGACAAGAGCTTACAGAGTGCCATCAGAACCATGGAGGACCATGAGAGGAGGGCGCAGGAGTACACAGAAACAACCGCTTCCAATCAGGTACACCATATCTCTGAACATACACATAGATGTTTTACTCTTCTCCTATTCAATGTTCTATCGAAATTTGTTGCTATTTATCATAAATTATAACATTTTCCTATGTTACAGAGATTAGAAGAGGTGCCCCAGAATGTGAAGATTCTCATCTCAACCTGTAAGATCCTGCTCACCAAGTGTCAGACGATACAGGTCAGTGTCACCTCAATACTAACCGAATAATCCGTGGAACCATGATCAAAAATTATCATCTCCAGTTTAATGCTGTGAATATTTTAATTGTATTTAAAAATCTTCAAACTAATTGTCTATATGAAATCATCAACATTAGCTGTATATTCATTATGATGGCTACATGTGCCGGTGTAAAATGTTGTCAGACTCCAGTAATCTCTGTGTTGTGAACAGATGGAGGTGGACCTGTCACTGAAGGAGGGAGGTGACCACGTGCCAAGTCAGTACTACAGTCTGGGCTATCGCCGCTCTCAAGGGATGGTCAGTCAGGTGAACAACCTGCTGGACACGGTCAGCCTGCTACTACAGAGTGTCACACCAGTTATGGAAGGTAAGCTACATAGTGTTATGCCAGTTATGGAGGGTAAGCTACAGAGTGTTACACCA